GTATCTAACACGGCTTCCTGCCTAACAAAGTTAGTCTTCTTTTGAATGTGAAACATTAGTGTTGCAGGTCCTCCTTGTAGGCAGTCATTCAGTATTACATTAATTAAACAGCAGCGTTTCCTCTGCGTCACTGTACCATAGACGACATGTTTTAGAAAGTAGTCATTGTGACAGATTACATGTAAGGTAATAACTATTGCATGACAAAAATATCTATATATATAATTATTTGCCTATGTATGTTCTTTTATATTGCATTTTGTCATGGTATCTTGGTATGGTAACAACATTTTAGGGATAATCTTTGTTTATGCGTTTCTTAAAATAAGGGGGAAAAACAATATTGGCCGATACATCGGCTATAAAAATCTCAAATATCGAAATTGGTATCGGACTTAAAAATCCCGTAACGGTCGGGCTCTAGTTTTAGATTCCCTGAAATCTTCTTACCTAAATAATATGGTCACATCTCTCATGTGCAATGGGATGTCGCTGGATCGTAACGTAATTTTTGGGCCTATATGGAACCCTCAATGCAGGCTTTGGTCAGCTTTACTGTTCAAACTCTTGGTGTGTCCATTTGTGGCCAGTTCATTCTGTTTTGGTCTGCAATGGTGCAGACACATGAGACAGGTGAAGCAGTCCAGGGCAAAGCACAGTAACCCGGAAACAAAAAGGTGAGTAATCCATAAGTCCAAACTGAAAGCATAAATCTATACAACAAGAGAGGCACGAGGAACAGTGGTGAAACATGAGACACTGGAAACAACGCTGGGTGAAACAATATTGAGACAGATTAAATTTCTAAGGCTACATTCAGACTGCAGGCCTTAATACTCAATTCCAATTTATTTTCCCCGATTTTTTTGTTTGACAGTTAACATTATTGTTTAAATGTGGCCCATATCAGACTCCAGTGTGAACTGTCCACGGCCTGAAAGTGACCCGCATGTGCAGAAGAATAGCACAACATCACACATACCAGCACAGAGTCTGTCTGTAAAGATCAGATTCCATGTGACTTGGCCTGTTCACACTGTTATAAAAAGATCAGATCTGATTCACATATGAGCAAAGAAATTGGATTTGGTCACTTTGGCCTGCAGTCTGAACGTAGCCTAAGGGGGGTGGACATAACGAGACACATGTGAAACACATTAGGGTAGGTACAAACAATCAACCCAGACACGCAAGGACAAGATGCAAAAGCAGACAATGACACCAGGTACAGAACAATGAATAAAAGAAGAAACACTGAAAACATAAAACACCAAAAGGCCAGAACTGTTACAACAGAACACGTACGAGTCACAGTAAGAGAGCAAGCTGGCAGTCTTTCAAAGGCAGCATGGTTGGAAATGTAAGGCACTACAGTCTCAGGTGGAACATCTCAGCATCCTTCAGACCTCAAACAATCTGCTTAGGGAGAAATGGATGGTGGTGGAACTGAAATGGAAGGACGTCGGTCCTCCTTTAGAAACGCCCCAAAACAGCTTGTTTTGGCCCGCATGTATGGTTCATACACTGAAAAGAATCATAGACCCATTTTGTCATGTCAACTTACTTCTTCTTTTTAACTCAAATAGCTAACAAAGTTTTGGATTTTGAACTCAACTGTATGAGTTTTAGAAAGTTAAACTTGCATTAATTCATTGTGTTGACTATTTGACACTTTTGTCGTGTTGACTGAACTTGCGTATGTAAGTTATCAGAAAACAGGGTTTAGCAAGTACTCGGTTAAAACGAGTATCTGGTACAGATACTTTCTATGAGTATCATCAGAGTAAAATGTGTCAATATCTGTTTTGTTATAAACTATAAATATATGAATATAAAATCAATTACTATTCTCTGAAGCTCAATTCTGAGGCTGTTCTGTAAATGGTTTTCTAATAAATATAGCAAGTTCTGATAGAAATTTCAGGCTTAAATAACTTCCAGTTAATACCACCCACTTATAGATTAAGCCCCGCCAATTCTGAGTACAGATACAGAAAATTTGGTGTTCTTGCTCACCCCTGCTAATTATACACTGCAGATAAGTCATATATTCTAATTCCAACCAAAATATAGACACTTCTGTGGTAAACAAGACTAGTGCCACCGGTGGAAAGGGTTCCAGACAACAGCCTTAAGGCCCTTTCAGAAAGGAAGTGACATCTGCTACTATTTTGAACTTTGACTGCGGCGTGCACAGGCGCACCAGCAAGCTACCCTGCCCCGTCACAAGTCATTGAAGATAATAGCACAGTGGTGCTGTTGTTGTGGTCTGTCTTCAAGGCCCTTTATAGATGTAAACTGAAACAAATTTGGAATTTAAGTCCCTTAACTTGAAATGGAAAGTAGTATTAGTTTGGTTAAGTTGCTTTAACTTGAAACTATGAGTTAGAATAACTCAAAGTTGTTCATTTAACTAACATTGGGACAACTAGAACATTGTAGTTATATCCACTTTATGAACTTAAATTTATGAGCTGAAACAAATCCAATCTTCAAGTTGAGTTATCTGAACTTAAAAATGTGAGTTGAAGGGGTGTAGAATTGTATGTTTGTTAGACAAGTGAAAGCAAGTTTCCTTGAATTGACAATGTAATATAGATAGTTGTTTTAACTCACAGTATTAAGTTCAAACAACAAATTATCATTAATTAAACAAATTGTATAACATAACATCATGAGTTGAAACAAAGCTTTTCTTAAAGTTGAGTTTACTCACATTTTTAAGGCAGCAATTGAACTTAAGTATTTAAGTTGAACCACCTAGATAATTTTTACAGTGTACCCACCCTCACATTAATAATATGCAATCAGAATAGCAGAGATCATTTGTTCAGTTCAGTTATTACCATTAAAAGAAGGACTCCCTCCAGATGTTCAAGGAAAAGTACAATTAAAGGTGTAGCAATGTAGAAATGTGGATGGCACAGTGGAAGTTGCATGTGGAGTGGGGTTGTTCACCTAGCTAGCAGAAGTTATAGCTGGTAAATTGGACCGCTACAGATTAGAAGAGGCTTCAGGCAGGGGCTGGAGGTGGCTGTAACTGGAGGTTTGATCTGCATCTGTCTGTCAATGACCCCCCACCCCTACATACAGGAAATATAATGAGGTTAAATAACAAACGGCAACGGCGCCTGTATGTAAAAGCATAAATAATGTAGGAGGAGGTAATTGTTACAGTAATGATTCACACCACATACTGGACTTTCCCGGCTCCATTAATCAATATAAAAACAACATCGCACATAAAGGAATTACAGTGCACTGTACATAAACACGCCTTTAACCAAGTCATACAATTTTGTACATGTACAACAGTTATTGGTGGGTTTGTAGCTTAGTGTGTTGAATATGTTATGATTCTAGTTCCTTTTAATATAAAAAAGCTGCTGTATGATACTGTGAGAATTGTGAGCATACTGATTGCACTATATTTTATATTTGTAAATGCTTTGTGCTAACTCCAACAGAGGGGGTTCAGTTTCTGTTGGGTACACCAGGGCATGCATTTGGGTAAAAGTGTCCACCAAAAGGTGCAAGCACACCTGGCTTTTAAAAGGGAATGGGAGATAACACTCTCGATTGGTGTATTTTGCATGTTACACCCAAAACACACCCATGACCAATTCACAGACTTATGTACAAACATTTTGAACCATGTGCTTGGTGCACTGACCATTTTTTCTGCCGTTAAACTAGCAAAATTGGAGTTGGACACGCCCCAAACCCAACTGCGCCAAGAACTTTGTGCCGTGTGCTTCTATTGTTAAAATAGGGTCCAGGATGTCTTAAACAGCACTGTTTAATGAAGCTCAGCTGAGGAGACATGGTATCAGCTGGACAGAGTTTGGACACAGCGCAGTGCCAAACCAAGTCTGACGATTGCCTATTATATATATCTTTTGCCTTTGCTATCCCTTATAGTCTATGCTTTATCCCATTCAAGGTCATTCTTAACTAGCCTAAATATGTGTAGCCATAGCAGACTCTTACCTAAGCTCTATTGGAGGCTGGAGTTTACAGTACATCCATCCATCGTCATCCGCATATCCTGCGTACAGGGTCGCGGGGGGCTGGAGCCAGTCCCAGCTGGCATCAGGCAAAAAGCAGGGTACACCCTGGACAGGTCGCCAGTCCATCGCAGGGCCACACACAGGACAATTTAGGGTCACCAATCAATCTAGTCTGCATGTCTTTGGATGGTGGGAGGAAGCTGGAGCACCCGGAGAGAACCCACACAGACATGGGGAGAACATGCAAACTCCACACAGAAAGTCCGGGGCAACCGGGGTTTGAACCCACGCACTGTAAACCCCCAGCTAACCCACTGCTAACCACTGAACCACTGTTCCGCCACTTGAGTTTACATGCATAACATAAATACTATGATATAATACTATCTCAGATCACTACTATTTTGATACTACCTACATTGATTAGACACTGACAGAAATCAGTGGTTAAATGTGCTTTTTTAATCATAATTATTGCTAGGGACAATTCAATAGTCGCAGAATATTTGTAAGACCCTTGTATCTCCCTTTAAGGAGCTATACTTTAAATGATTTTACTGTATTACTTGGAATCTGTATGGAACAGCTTGTCTGTCTTGTTGTGTAAACAAGCAGAAGGTTATTTGCCATTAGATTCTGGTATCATGTTAGAGAATTTGAATAATGAATGATGTTACCAGCACTGTGTCACCTATGTGTAAACAAGGCAGAACATGCTTTTCTAACATCATCAAAAGTGCAACAGACTGCAGTTGTGAACACTGAGACAGACAGACAGAATGAGATTTAAGAGATTTTGCAACATAGCACTAACCAAAATAGAAAACACCATCATGCAGCTGCAACTTGTAGGCCAACAGGTAATGGTGGTCACCTAAAATATTTCACACCACCAGCCCTTAGTTTCCTGTTAAGTAGAGGGTGACATGCACATAGAAAGTAACTTGTAATTTCAAAAGCAGACTCTGCAGACTTCAGACACCACAGGAACACAGCATACTGTCAGAACCGCTGACCATCATGGATCAACCGTTGGATATCTATGTTAATGTACAAAGGCAATCACGTAATCCCAGCGAGACGAAAAGGGAGATACAAAGTTCACAAAACATTTATGAAAATGTGTTAATCCACACTGCGGACACAAAAAGAGCTGGACCTGCACTCTCAGGTAATAAACACACACAAATAAGTTTAAATGTAGCTACACTTCATTTTGTCCACACAGACACACTCAGACAAAATATACTATATTTTCAAAAACAGCTTGTCTAAAGGGATACAAAACCTAAAATGACTTATGTGACAAACAGTAATGTGGAGGAAGACAAACAGCAAGCGACAACTTTCTATTAATGGTTTTAACTAAACAACAGAGGAATGCCACAGTGCATGAAGAAATTACATACAAAGCCATGCAAATGTATGTTTGAATATAAATGTGTCAACTTATACAAAATATATGTTCTATACTTGTGGAGAGTTGCATTTCAATGGGTGACTTTTGCTCATTTGAACATCATCAAATTCACAAACCTCCCTACTTGTGGTAACATTATACAAGTACCCCAAATATTGCTGACTTTTTATTTGACATTGATATTAAAACAAATGACAAATGTTTTACCTTCAGGTGCTAAAGATGGAAGGAAGAGTTCCTGCAGAGTTGCTGCAGTGTGTCTGGGTCTGCTGTGTCTTCTCCTCCTGACCATTCTTGTAACTCTGGTTTTCCTATGTGAGTACTTTGTTAGCATGCTTATAAAGCAGTATGATGATAATACTGGTTGACAGTCTTTTTATATTTGTTTGTTTATGTGTCAAACACAGTTACCGTGAGCAACTCTGAGCAGAAAATGAAGATGGTCCAGTTACAGACAAGTTACAACAACCTGACTAAAGAAAGAGACCAGTTACAGACCAGCTACAACACCCTGACTAAAGAAAGAGACCAGTTACAGACCAGCTACAACACCCTGACTAAAGAAAGAGACCAGTTACAGACCAGCTACAACACCCTGACTAAAGAAAGAGACCAGTTACAGACCAGCTACAACACCCTGACTAAAGAAAGAGACCGGTTACAGACCAGCTACAACAACCTGACTAAAGAAAGAGACCAGTTACAGACCAGCTACAACACCCTGACTAAAGAAAGAGACCGGTTACAGACCAGCTACAACACCCTGACTAAAGAAAGAGACCAGTTACAGACCAGCTACAACACCCTGACTAAAGAAAGAGACCGGTTACAGACCAGCTACAACACCCTGACTAAAGAAAGAGACCAGTTACAGACCAGCTACAACACCCTGACTAAAGAAAGAGACCAGTTACAGACCAGCTACAACAACCTGACTAAAGAAAGAGACCAGTTACAGACCAGCTACAACACCCTGACTAAAGAAAGAGACCAGTTACAGACCAGGTACAACAACGTGACTAAAGAAAGAGATCAGTTACAGGCCAGCTACAACAACCTGGTTAAAGACAGAGACCAGTTACAGACCAACTTGGCTAATGCTGCAAGGAAGATTTGATGCCCTGACAAAAGACAGAAATGTTCTTCAGAGAAAGCTTCAAGGTAACTAGAAATTGTGGTGGGACTGCTTGTTGATGAAAAGCTGACGCTTGCATGTATTGCTGCACAAATAGCTTGGAGCTGCATTGCTGACTTAACTTAAAATGAAAGAGCAGCAGAAGGTGTATGAAGAGTTGCAATAGTAGGAGAAATAAAGGGTGTAAAATATAGTGTAAGCAATTAAAGGTGTTCAAATGAGAGTTTTAGTGAATGTGCTTAAATGATCTCAAGTGTGTGGAGAAGGAGTTGAGGTGTCATACAAGTGTCCTAGTTGGAATAAGGGTAAAAGAGCTTAGATCTAAGTCCTATAAAAGATGCATTAGAGGCCTTCGGTCAATATTTTGTCAAACATGACTTTCCATCAGTTTGTCATTAATAGTAACTGGCTAACCATTTTTGATTTCATGATTATATTTAAAAAATTAACTCAACAACTGACAACAACAAAAAAAAAATGGAAGGACAACAACAACATGCAACACAAATATTTTGTCACATTCTAATGTAGAAACAAGAGAAGTTTGAGATGATACAATAATATCACAATTACAATATTGGTTTTCCTGAGGGGAGATGGCTGAAGGCCTTTTTCACAGTAGACATTTTGACTTGTTGTAGTAGGAAAATCACACGTGTTACTAGCAATGTTAACAATGACTCTGTTCTATTCAGGTGTCCCAGAAAGATGTGACGGTGAGCGGGCGTCCACAATACCAGCACCCTGAAACTGATGGAGCTTAATAGAAGTCAGAAAGTTTAATTGGAATAAGTGAAAAGACCTGCTCCACTTATTTAAATGTCCATCAGGTGGCACTGAATCATTTAAGCCATAAGTGTGAATAATTGCTGGCCTTCCTATAGCACAGTCTGTTTTAAAATGTGATGTTTGATCAAAGTTCAGTGCAGCATTTCTGGAGATATTTCAAGCCCATAGCAATAACAAGAAAAATAATATTTCCTTTTGTTTTCAGTGTGACACTCAAAAATGTACAAACCCTTCTATATCACATCCAGGTCACAGGCACAATGTGGAGCAGTAAACAGACTGCCTACAATACCGTATTTTTTAAATTGTATTATCCAATAAATAAATTTAGGTGTGAACTTTGATTTTCTGCACTGTGTTGAAAAAGAAGGATGCTTGTTGTCTTGAGTGAGAAGATTTATGTTGCAGTATTTTCTGTTTTAGACACCAGTATGTGATTTTAACTGTATGTGTCACACATTGCCTGTCTGATCTGTTTAGTTTCATTATCCGACGTTTTTGTTATCTAGTCCGTTGTAGTTTGGTCTCGTCCTGTTTGTTTGTGTCTTGTTGTGGAGTTTGTCTATGTTGCTGTCTTCTGCTTGTTCTTTGTAGTTGTTCTGGTCTGTCTGTCTGATTGCCTCCACCTGGTCTTGGTCCCGTTCTGCTCGTTACCTGGTGTTAAATGTTTGCTTGTTCTGTTCAGTCTCTTTCTGGTCATTGTAGCTTGTAGTGCTCAGTCTGGTGTTGTGTGTAGCTTGCTGTTGCTCTGTCTCAGTCTCATGTGGTGTGATAGAATTCTTTTGTTCGCCCTGCTTGTTTCCTGTGGATTTTGGATTTCTGTTGGATTAGCTGTTCTGTTGGATTGCCTCATTTTGTTTGGACTTTATTTTTGGAAACCCTCAGCTCAGCCACTCTGCCTGTAAGTGTGCTCACTCTTAGTTGTTTAATAAATATCACTGAACCAGTTACCTGTACCAGTTAGCCTTTGGGTCCTGCATTTGGGTCCTAAAACCTTTCAACTACACTACCACCAAGTATGAAAAAATTTGAGGTTACTACACCTTATGGAGCTTGCAAATGGAAACAGTTGTTTTACCTATTCTAAAAAAACAACGATGTAAAGTTGAGAAGAGGATTATGCTGCAAGGGAGATGTTACAGACTAGTAGTTATTGTTAGGATTTCACTAAAAGGATTTAAGAGCAGACACAAGCCAGATGTCAAAAACACAGGCAGGTTTATTTTCAATGTGCACAGAGAAAAACAGATGGTTGGGGATGGGGCGGAGAACTCGAAATTCTGCGGGGATCAGTGAACCCACTGCTGGACCTGAGAGCGGACAGTATCAGGAACAAACAAACGGTTTGGCCTCACTAACCCTAACATCCCTAACACCCTAACAACTATTGGGATAAGCGGCCACACAAAGCAGGTTATCTATGCAATAAATATAGTCCCAAATGTATTGTAGCTGTGTGGAAAAAGTGTTGTACTTGTACTTTCAAATGTGTGAAAATAACAAATCGATTTAATTTTAGTTACACATCTACAGTATCTGACATGGATGAAAACAATTCAGAGAACTCAATTGTATGCGTAAATGTGTCCAAAAAAGGTTTACAGGTACGAATTTATTCTACCTACAGACCTACAGTTACAAGTAGTTTTGTCCCACATTTGACACATTCCCCTCCAGGGAAGCACAGATTATTAAATAAATTAGAATTTATTTTAAAGGACCATGCACTGATACGGAGCATTTCCTTGTCACTGAACTTGGTCAGGGTGTCTGTCAGATTTGGGATTATATGTGGGAGATAGCATGAACCTTCAATATGTTATGTCTTCCCGGAGAAGCTCCTCTCTGGCAGATCAGAAAAGGATGCACACACCATGTCAAGGAGGTTCACATCTGTCTGCACCCACCCTAGATCACCAGAGTCGTCAAATGACATGACATGCATATCCGAGTGAATTCTTTTCTGTTAAAGTAATTTTAATCAATTCACAACATATATCACTTTATTCCACAAAACCCATTTTGTGTGAATACATTGTCACTACATTATAATGTGGTGTTTTTTTTTTGTTTTTTTTTATGTTTTGGCATCAAAACTCCCAAAATGTCAGGTGGTGCAACTGTCCGTTCAAATAAACAGATGAAGAAAATATTTTAAATTGTGTTTTAAGCATATTAAATTCAAAATAAAATACTGTGGCATGATTTTATGTTTTAAACAATTCAAATAAACCAAATTTTACAAGTTGCTGATATAATTGAAAAACCTCTGTCCAGCAATTTGCATGTTTTCAATTGTCAGGGTGGCACGTTTGACACATGGGACATATATTCCGAAGTGAAAATTTATTAACAGGTTATTGCATTATCCAGAGGACCCCAAGTAAACTTTGTCTGAGTGAAAAGGTTTGTAAATCCCTTTCAAATAATGATAAAAATACCTATGTTTAACTTACAGTCAGACTGGTTCACTTTCCATGTCAGGTGGTACAACCAATGTAATACTTGAAAATGATTAATTTATCATAAAACCTTTTGTTTAATCAAAACAACATATGTATGAACTTGCTAGCAACAGCAAAAGTTAATACAAGTTTCATATTATAAGCCTCTTTCATTTGAAATAAGTTGTAAAGTCAGGTGGTGCAACCTGTATGTCAGGTGGCGCAACTGCAAGGAAAGTTATTCTAAAGTGACTAATGTTTGGATTGATAATAAATTTGTTTCAATTAAGAATGTTTTACACTCTCTAAACTTTTACATGAGAATAGGGTGTTTACTAGCTTCAGAAGAACTGCGTTCAATACTACCAATTTTAATAAGGCACCAAAAGAAAAAAGAACTCTAAACAGAATACAGTGAGTTCACTTGGGTAACTCAATCCAAAGCTCCCACGCTAGGATACTTTTAAGAATAGAGAAGTTTAATTTAACATAGCAATCCTTAAGTGTGTCCACTGTGCAACTGTATTATCTAGTAAAATACAAGTATCGGATCGGGACTCGGAATTGTCAGATACTAAATATTAAATGTTTCTGATCTGGGGCAAAAAAAAAGTGATCGGAACATCCCTATTTATAGTTATCTGAGGAGGAAGATAGAGGGAAAACTGTGAAACTCCCAATTAGCCAGTGGTCCAGAATAGAACAGCAAAAAGTGAGGCAACAGTGGAAGCAAAACCAGTGAAAGCACAGGGAGAGGAACATTAAAAACATTGGTGTTCAATTACAATCTAATATAGTGTATCCATTGCACTGTAGCCTATTCCAGTTGTAATAATACATTTTTAGAAGCTTTATATGTCATTATAAGTCACGTTAGCTCGCAGGCTAACGCCGAGCAGTTGCTAATGTTATCCAATGCAAAGTTGTATCGCTTTCCACATTACTTCACCAACTAACGTGACCCATATTACTATCCTGTGTACCACTGTTGATTTCGCCTGCACGAAAGGAATGTAACACTAAAAAGCAAATGTGGAGCAATTTGTTTACTAACGTTAGCCAGAACCAGCCAGCTAACACTACAGTAGCTCTGACCTGCCGCTGTTTGCTTCATAATATTCAGTTTAGGTTTATTGTGGTTTTACCAATACTCAGGTACATAGCTTCTCCACCTCTCAGTCGCTGTAACTAACCTGACCCACATATTATACAATACTGCAACTTCACAGCGACAACAACCCAGAGGAAGAGCCATGCACTAACACTACAGTAAAGTTACTTACTGCGGTCTTATTATTATAAAGTGTGACACAATCTCGTTATAATATTCAGTCCAGCTCACCAATACATTTAGCTGTGCTGACATTGCTGAGCTTCCGGGGAAAGATACAGATAATAAAGATGGTTACTGAAAGCAGCAGGCGAGCTAACAATGTAGCACGTCGGCTAAATGCAGTAAATGTACAGTGATCATGTAACGAGCATGGATTAGTTCCATAACCTGCAGCAGATAAAACTATTACTGTAATGTTGCTGTAGGGGTTTACCTGAGTTTCCAGCATATTGTGTGAAGCTGTCTCCCTGCCTGTCACTCTGCCTTTTTCCAGGAGGATTGCGCCAATATGCGGCTAGCTGCGCTGAATCAAGTAACTGTTGAGAATTATTTTAGAACATTACTGACTAAATTATTCCACAAAGTCAGATTTTTGGTTAAAATAGCATGATCAGCAGAGGGCATGCCTAGGACACAGAGAGGGGGAGCATTGCAGACAATTAGACATCAGTCAAGAAACAGTCATCAGTGATTATCCTTAATCAATATTAATAATCATTGTTAATCATTTTAATCAGTTTTATAATCTTTAATCAGTATCAATAAGTAATCATTCTTAAATCATCATTCTTAATCATTTTCTTTTTACCTAGATGTGCTTTCGGTTTTTACTTATAAGTAGTGAACTGTAGTCATGAACACAGAAACAAGCTCACTGTGGTTAGATCCTTGAGTGGGAGGAATGACTGCAGGAAGAGGCTGCAGATGGTTTGCCTTATCCAACTGTCATCTACTGTAGATTATGACCATAGGCGAGGCTGCAGGTGTGCAAGATCTGCTGACACTGTGACAGTGCATGCTTTGGTCTACTGTTATCTACTGTTATGATTACATGAGGAACTGCTGATGTGTTAATCTGCTAATATTAAGACTACATGCTTCATTACTGATTAAGGGGTTTGATTGTCAACTTCCAACCTCTGGTTATTATAGCCAGTGTGAGCTTTGAGTGAATTTGCTTATAACCTGTGTGAACTTGCTGAAGGAATTCTTGCTTTGCAAAAAAGCGTCAGACGCTTTGCAGAAAAGCAACAGAGGATGACCAAAAAACCATCAGATACTTGATAAAAACACGACAGAGGGATAATAAGCAGAAAGCAGAAAACAGCCAGCATAACATCAAGATTGCTGTAAGAAACCAAGCATTAATGAAAAATGCAACTTTACTTATGTTATTCTTATATTAATTATTTAAAAAATGTATTTAATTGTGTGTCAAATTAAGCATGCGTAACCTTTAAAAAAATACGGTGAGACTGAAGTTGAAATGTAAATGATGAACTTCTTATCCAAGATGTAGAAAGTCAACAATACAGTAATAAATGACAGCTGGGGAACAGTGTTAATTGGTAAAAAACAACACAATAACAGAGGAAAAGAAGTTCAAGGAGGGGGCAAACCAGCCGAGAGAGCGAGACACAGACAGACAGACTGACTGCCCGCCTTCATCCTCTGGCCTGCTGGGATGTTGTGCGGGTTTATCTGTCCTGTTTTGGAATAAACTCTTTTTGCACCGACTCTTGACCGTCTCCAGAGAAGTTTGATTGCAAATTTATTGACTATAATAGAAAGCTAATGGAGTATTTTTTGACAAAGTTTATGAAGCTGTCGAAGGTGGGGACCAGGCTTAACATCTCGCACATCTGACCCAACATAACGTTACGGAGCCGGTGTTGATCTGCCTCTGAGACGGGAACGTTGAAGTAACAGAGCCTGAACATGTCTGAGTGAAAAGCCACAGCCTGCATGCTGGTGTTCCTGCGTTTATTGCAGGATTTCTGTATGAAAGTGGTTGCGTTTCGGATTATGCGTACGAGCACACGCCTGGTAGCAATCTTAAAAGTGCACCGTTGGTGGCCACTGGAAACTCCATAATGCCCCTTTAACTTTAACACCTGTGTGATTCTCACACCAACGATCTGGCTGACCACTTCAATCATATTTGTTTGTCATCACTATATACTATTGCACCAAGTGCAATAATACAGCTAGTAAGCATCGCTGGATAAACGACAGCATTCGCATGTCCATTAACTCAGTATGAAGGATTTATTATCAAACTACAATAACATGGTTAAGGATGCGAGAACACACATTTTTCTGAACTCATTACTGCACATAAACACAAACCTAGATTTTTATTTAAGACTGTGGATCAGCTGGTATCCCAGCCCCTCCTTGTTCCTCAGTTATAAGATCAGATAAGTTGAAATTGTTGATGTCTGTGAATTGTTTTTATCTTATTTTACTGATTGTGTCAATCAGAGACTCTATTACCCCCTCTGCCTCTTTCTCAAAGGTCCCTCACCAACAACAAGATAGTTTTAACCAGTTTTATCCCATTGACTTGTCTGAGCTTTTAAAAACAGTGTCACAGATGAGTGTCTTCCAGCCCACTTGATGTAATACCAACAAAGTTTTTACTGAAAGTAATGGATTCTGTCGGGCCCCACTTGATTTCTGTTTTTAACAGCTCCCATCTACTGGTTGTGTCCCTCATTATTTAAAAAAGGCTTGTTTGAACCCACTTTTAAAAAAAACCTGATTTAGATCCCCCTCACCCTCAAAATTTTAGACCAATTTCCAAACTACCTTTTTGTAAAAAAGATTTTAGAAAAACTAGTGTCCAAAGTTTCAATCTGGTTTCTGCAAGTGTTTTTCTTGCTTTTCTCATGTATTTGTTTTTGTGTTTTATTTCTTTGCACTTGTTAAAGAACTTTGTAACTTTTTTTTTTTAAATTGCTCTATAAATAATAATAATTATTATTATTATTAATATATTATTATAACTGATGGGGGGTGTTTGCTTGTGGGAATGTCTTGCTGATTTGTTGCCCAGTCCAGCCCTGCAAGTCACAGTAATGAATTATTGCTGAACCACATGCAATTACTGGATATGGAACAAATGTGGATTTAATCATTTGCAAAACTTTATTGAGCTAAGTATTGGAAAAATTGCAAAACATACTTATTTAGAAGTGAATTAGAATAAGTGATGTAGAAATGAAGCATTTTCTATTTTCTTTAATCAGCAGACAAGATTCTTCATGCTGATATATTTGCAACAGAATATAACATCAAAACATCTCTAAAAAACAAAACTGACTGTTAATATAAATGAACTGAAAGCAGTTA